GCAAACGCCAATTTTATTTTTTGATATGTTGTTAAGCTATAAAAGCACTATATAAACAAATTTTAAAAATTAAAAAACGTTTGGTTCTTCATAGTTAAAAATGGCGCCAAACAAAAGAAGTTTTTCATTTTTTTGACATTTTGAGCTCCGATAGCTCAAAAAATTCAATACAGATTTTAACGAAATTTTGTGATTTATTTGTGACTATAAGGTACTTCTAAAATAACAAAAAATATTTATTTATTTTGCGATAGATTTTGAGCTACGCTGTTTTGAAATCAGTGAAATTTTCAAAAAATTCATTTTTTTCTAGATTTTTTGTTCAAAATATCCTTTGATTCGAGACAATAACATTTATTTTTTTTGTTATTACATTGTTTCACTGATATGCACAAAAAATTTCATCAAGATATGTTGGCTAGTTCAAGAGATATAGCGTTCTACGTAGGTACAAGTTTTGAAAAAAATCGCTCAAAAATTTGAGGATGCTGTCACAAAAATCTTCATAACTTGAAAAATAATTGAAATTTTTTTATAAAAATTTTATTTTGTCGATGAAATACATTGAGGTACTTACTGTTAAAATTTTAAAAAAATCGGAGATGGTCGGGCGTGGACTTTTTTTTAAATCGTTCAAGTTGACGGAGAATGACCCATATATGTATATATATATATATATATACACATACATTATTACAAGTCTATTTGTACAGCGCTAATCACAAAAAAAATCTCAAAAGCGCTCCCTAAAATAAATGAACAAACAAAACATTAATCAAACGAAGACAAAGACATTGTTAATTCTGCGAAAATAAATGAGTCTTCAGCTCCTTTTTAAACTAAAGCGCCGGTAGACTGTTCCAAACCACCGGTCCAGCAACAGCAATATTGCGTTATCCGGTCTGTAAATTCGTTGTCGGCACAACCAGGAGGTTCATAACATTTGATCTCAACTGCGAACCCAACACAGATGTTTTTCTGATGAACAAATACTGTGGTGCTAAACCATGTAATGACCAAAACGTTAAGACAGCAATTTTGAAAATTATTCTTTTTTTGAATTTTTAGCCAGTGTAGGTCATTCAAGATTGGAGTCACGTGGTCGAACTTCAGATTTTTTTTGACAAGTTTTGCAGCTCGGGGAGATTCTTATATTGCCTGCAGATAAAGATATTGTGTCATCCATTCTAGGAAAAAATGCTGCCAATAAACTTAATGTCATTCCATTGCCCGATAATACAGTTTCTCGAAAAATTCTTGATTTAGCATTAGATGTAAAAACCATTCTTATTAAAAGAATCCAAGCAAGCAAATACTTTGCAATTCAGTTAGATGAAAGTACAGATGTTACAAACTTTGCACAGCTGATGATGTATGTTAGGTATGAATTTGAACAGTCAATTGAAGAGGAATTTTTGTTCTGTGAGTCTTTATCAGGCCGGACAACAGCTTTAGAAATATTTAAAAAAGTTGATGATTTCATGACTTTAAATGGAATAGATTGGCAGCATTGTGTGGGAATGTGTTTTGATGGTGCAGCTGCGATGACTGGCAAATATGGGGGAGTAGTTATGCAAATTAAACAGGTTGCACCAGAAGAAAAATTCACACATTGCAGTATTCACCGTGAAGCTCTTGCTACCAAAGCCATGCCTGCTAGTTTGAAAACTGTTTTAGAACAATCTGTTAAAGTTGTTAATTTTATAAAACCTCGGGCTCTCAATTCTCGTTTGTTTTCAATAATGTGTAATGAAATGGGAAGTGACCATAAAAAGCTTCTTTTGCACACAGAGGTACGATGGTTGTCACGTGGAAAAGTATTATCTCGACTTTTTGAACTACGTTCAGAAGTGCAAATATTTCTCATGGACACTGGATTTCAAACAGCCGATTTATTTCTGAACGAGTTATGGTTAATGAGGTTGGCGTATTTAGCGGACATTTTTGGTAAACTGAACGACTTGAATTCTAGTTTGCAAGGACGAAATATAACTCCGTTTGTTGTTGACAAAATAAATGCAATCATTAGGAAGTTACAGTTCATGGTTTCAGATGTTGAACAATTTCAAGTAACAGCATTTCAATCACTGCACACATTCTTGACTGAGAACAAACTTCAACTGCATCCTAACATGGCTGAAGATATCAAGAACCATTGTTCTCAGTTAATTTTGAGTTTTCGAACCTATTTTCCTGAAAACTTTGATGACAAAACTTGGATAAGAAATCCATTTTATGATGTTGCATTGCCAGCTGACTTTTCTGTTCAAGAAAGAGATCATTTCATTGAACTTTCGTGTGATGGTAGATTGAAGAATGAATTCAACAAAGACTTGTTGAGTGATTTTTGGCTTAAAAGAAAAGAAGAATATGGATTAATTTCTGACAGAGCTTTGAAATTTTTGATCCCTTTCAGTACTTCTTATCTCTGTGAAACTGGATTTTCTGCAATGTTGGCAATAAAAAACAAATACAGATCAAAACTTGAACTTGAGCCAGACTTGCGTCTAAAATTGACATTAATAAAGCCTGACATTGCAGAATTGTGCAAATCTAAGCAAGCCCAGTGCTCACATTAACATGATTATACTTTTATTGTGACAATGAGCGGAACTCTCTGACTCTTTGTCTAAGCAGAAAACTATGACTATTAGGTTTTTATTAGCATAATAATTATTATTAGCAGGACTATATTTTCATGTTTTTCAAAAAGATTACAAAAATAAAAATAACATCGTTTTCGATTAAATTAATTTTGGCATGAAACCATAATAATTTTAATATAATATTCATATTATAATAAATTTAGTAAAATGTATAAGCAGATAGGACTGTCACTAAAGTGACTGTACTAAAATAACCAAAATTTACTAAAATAGCTAAATTACTAAAAAAATAAAGTTTCTGAGAAATTTTTGTCTGATGGGGGTACGTACGCAAATAACATTTTAACGTGGGAGTACAACAAAAAAAAGGTTGGGAACCCCTGAGTTATTGAAATACTAAACTAACTACACAATTGCACAACGTCGCATCCCACGTTTTTTTTATTACAAATTTCAAACTATTTTAATTATTATTGTTATTTTAATTATTATTTGATTGATCATATTTAAAAACTATTTTATTAATATAAGCTCAATAAAAAAAAATCTTTATAAATTTTTTAATTTGTTTTATTTGTCGCTTCGTATTTTGTTTTAGAATCAAAATTAAAAAGAATTAGCATCAATAGCATACCATCATTATTAAATTTTTTTCAATGAAACATTTTAACGGCACTGCAGCTCCCAAAAGGTGCCATAATGTTCCAGTAATTTTAATTATACAAAACTTTCTCTAAACATATTTTAAAGTAAAAAGACAAACATTGAGTTGTAAATTATTTTAATAATTTAAATTAAATTTTATTTATGCGTTTAATAAAATTAAGAGCCTAGCAATAATATCGATATAAAATTATAATTTAATTAACAAAACACAGCCAACCTATAGCGAATCCCCAACCAGCGTTTGGAGCTAATAAATGTTCAAACTTTTTTGCTAAAGGAATCTGAAACATTTTTACATATTTTATAAAAGTATTTCAATAATTTCAGTGTGATATAAATATGATAAAAATTCAATTTATTTATTAAAACAATGTGGTGCAAAATGCAATTGCAAATTTTTATTTTGTGAATGGTTTTGTTTTCAAATTATAATAAATTTACACAATACAATACAGTACAATTCAGTGCAATATAATACAATTTTATTAGACCTCTAATATAACAAATCAAATCAAAGGTAGAGGATGACTGTGAAGAGCCCTCAAGAAACCCATCGAACACAGTCACCTCAACAAAAATATATAATAAAAAAATTTAGCTAAAATTATCAAACAAAGTGAAAAATAAATTAATAAATTATACCTAATCAAAGACAAAAATGTAACATGTCCAAAAAAGAAATTTGAATATAAACACCCTTATCTTCATACACCATCATATATTCATTAATCACTCATTGCAGTTTAAACAAGTATGACCGAAAATTATATACAACATTAGGGAAAAAAATAAATACACATCCATACCATCGTAACCCATATCCGAAAATTATATACAACATTAGAAAAAGGAAACAACAAATCCATATAATCATAAGTTCATTACAGTGCCGGATGAACAGACTCACACATAACCTATTTCCATATATTCATATCACCATATCATATAATCGCAAAAAAGAAATTTGAATATAAACAATTGAAGTTTTTTAAATAATTAGACATACATACACACACCAAAGGCACCCATCACACACATACACACTCACAAGAAACATACCTATTTATAACTTTACAACTGGTCCATACAGAAATTTAAATATGAGCACACTTTTTTCATGTATCATCATCAGCGGCGGATCTAGTGAGGTAAGGATGGCACTGGCTCCCTCAATGTGAGCAGTTTTTAATAAAAATCAGAAAAACAACCGTTTTATGAATCAACCAAAAATTGAACATGATAACCAAAACAGATTGTCAGCCACACTATTATAAATCTTGGCTTCCCCCATGTGAAAATGTTGGCCCCCCCCATCTAAAAATTTAAATTTTGATATCTCCCGAAAAGTTGTTCAGATCCGCCACTGTTTTCTATGATACTTTAGTCAGTGACATTTTTTATATGACTCATGAAAAAGATAAATTTTTTATGATATTCTTCTTATCGACTTTCATTTTAAAGTTTTTATCTTTTTCATTTCCGATTATTCTGATTCGAATCAGTGGATTGAGATGATTTTTCTGAGCTGCACAAGGGTTGTTTAAACTCAAAAATTTTACATATTTCCTATTATTACTATTATTCATTTTATTTTTATATTTTTCTTTTTGGTTCGTGGTTATAAAAGTTTACAAAACTGTTTGCGAATTTTCCATTGTTCCATAGTTTCACATTCTCAGACAAAAATTAGATCAATTCAGAAATATGCCACCACTTTGCCATTTACAACTTAAACTATAAATTTCTATATTTCCAACACCAATGTAGTAGCTTCCAACGATCATCAAGTGTTCGTTATTCCGTAGGTTCAAGATTTCCGATAGATAATCACAACTGCTTCAAACGCAAACTTTATTGGACGTTTATTTAAATAATAATAGTAATAGAAACAATAAACTATTCCAAGTAACTAAATAAACCACATTCAGTACTTCGCTGACTAGGCAGGACTTATATATAACCTAGATTTTTAGCATAAAATCAATATTTCTTTACAATCCTCTAATCCAAAGATTACAAACATAGCAAAGATACTAATTTGATCATTCCAGTGGTTATATATATATATATATATATATATATATATATATTTAGGAACGAGGTTTTCATTAATACATATTTTGTTAAATTTATAAATACAAAATGCATGATAAATACAAAATATATATCTATGTGTATATATATATATATATATATATATATATATATATAATATCAAATAAGCTGGTAAAAGACCATAATTAATGCAGTAATTTATGAAATCTACCGAATTTCTAGCCTTGGTTAGTTTTTAATCATAATTCTCAATATTTCTAGCCAAATTCTTGTCGTCTTTATTTATTTAATTGAGTCTCGAGTGTATAGGGCCTATTTCAATCATTTTCAGCACTTGTGCTTCATCAATGTTTGAAGTCCTGATGTCTCGCTGACAGACTTGCAAACATCTCTGTAGGTTAATTTTGGACGACCGATTGTTCTTTTAGCTCTGACTAGCTTGGCATGAAAGATATTTTTAGAAATTCTTCTATCTGACATCGTGTACATGTCCAAGCCAGCGTAGTCTTTTCTGCATCAAAAGCGCATAGATACTGCCAGAGCCGGATTAAGGCTCTGTTGGCCATAAGGAACATTTTTATAAGTGGCCTGAAAATATATTTAAGACATTTGATGATATTTTGGTTGGCTGGATATTATGTATTATAGTTCTAATCTAAGGTCAACTAAAAATAGCAGAGATTCCTAAATACTGAAATACTTCAGTCCTAAATAATAAAATACACTGAGTGATAGGATAACTGCTGCAGAACCTACGGATTTAAAAATATGTGTAAAAACGTGTTTGCTGTCTATTATATTTATAATAACACTGACGGATGTTTGCATAGAATAAGAAGTCAAAACTAACTTCTGACTCTGACGAGAAAATGATTTTACTTTTTTGCCCCTCCCTAAGTCTATTTTTTGGGGCCCTAGTCTACTTTTTGGCTCTTAGGCAAGTGCATTGTTTGCCTAATGGTTAATCCGGCATTGGATACTGCACGAATTGGTTTTTTTACACTTCCTTATTGACACACGATCTTTCCATGAGATACGCATAATGCGTCGCAGACAGCGCATGTGAAAACTATTCAATCTTGATACATATAAGTTGAACAACTCTCACTACCATTGAGCAAAGTAATCAAAGCACATGTGCTATTGACAAGTATTTTGGTAGCTGTAGTAAGTTTAGTATTTTCCCAAACATGATTTGAAAGTTTTTGTTGATGGGAGATGGTGTACTTTATGAACTCGTACTGGCCGACGTTATCCGATGACAGATCAACTATTCTCACCTATATTCTTACTCATTTTTTCAATATATATATATATATATATATATATATATATATATATATATATATTAATACAATATATATATATATACATGTTGGATTAATGTATTGGATGACTGTGAGAAATGCAATTATTGATGAAAATCACAGCATGTTCGGCGTTAGTTAAATTCCAATTTAACTTTTCGATTTTATTTAAGTTCATGTTACAGTCGACCATCGTGGTCGTCCACGATGTTGCCTCCAGTCCGTGGTTTTTTAATAAATATTAGATTAAGGCTGTCAGAAATGCAATTATTGATGAAAATCAAAACATGATCGGCGTTTGTTAACTTCCAATTTAACTTTTCATTGACAAACATTGAGTTGTAAATTATTTTAATAATTTAAATTAAATTTTATTTATGTTAACTTCCAGTTTAACTTTTCGATTATATATATATATGTATACATATATAGTGAAATCGATGTATTCATCGACGTTATAAAAGCTTTTGATACTGTTAGGCATGATATTCTTCTTAAAAAGCTTTATTACAATGGGGTAAGAAGTTTTATTTTTGCTTGGTTTACTAGTTATCTAAACGAAACGTCCCAATTTGTCTCAATAGACAATAGATAATTATAATTCTTTATCTTCCCATGGTTTTATCATTAACCCACTTCTTTTTAATATTTTTTATCAATGGCCTTACTTTTCCAAATTAAAATTCATCCTTTTTACTGACGATACTACCTAGCACGTTGGTGGTCCATCTATGGACAATGTTATTCAAGTTCTCAACGAAAAATTAACAAAGGTTTACGATTGAACTACCTGCAATTGCCTAACTATAAATTTAGCGAAAAATAATTGGATGCTTTTAGGGCCAACAATTATCACTAATCTTATTCATTTTCAGATTTGCATTAAGGAAATTCCTATTCCTAGGGTATCCTTTTTGAAATTTTTAGGTGTAATTATCCCCAGTAATTTAAACTGGAATGAACCTATAATAACAAAGTTTAAAGTGGTTCAGTAGACTATGACCTGTGTAAAAACCACTACAAAATAAATGTTCTAGTATCCTAGCTCTCCTAGCTTAATTTTAAAATTGTTGGTTGAATCCACTGAGACAATTTCAACGCTCAGCTCGTTCCAGGCGTTTACCACCCCGCTGCTGAAAGACCTTTGCTTTATTGGATTTTCTATCTTCTCAAAGAGCCTGAATCTATGACCTCTTAATTTTTTCCTTTTTTCTTGTTGAAAGAATCTAGTGAACGGTGTTTCTTCTTTCCCAGTTATTAACTTATACGTTTGAATCAGATCACTTTTGCATCTTCCCCTTTCTAGTGTTGTTAATTCGCATTCTTTCAGTCTATCCCTATTTTCTAGCTTTCCAACTCCCTCGATTATCTTTGTTGCTCTACCCTGTACCCGTTCAAGAATGTCTTTGTTCTTTGGCAAATCTGGACTCCAAACCTGTGAACAGTACTCGAGATGAGGGAGAACTAATGTTTTATACATGTTCAATCTGGCGCTATCAAAAACCAACTGAAAGACAAACACAAAACAAAACCCACTAGAAACATCCTTGATAACAATATTGAAGTTCTACATTATAATAATAACAAGCAAAAACTACGAATTGAAGAATCGCTTTTGATTGAACAAAGGCATTCCTTTAAAAATATTCAACAAAGGGCCACTGGCGTTCTACCATCCCATAAAATTAGAAATCGACTTTACTGAGACGACACACAAAGAGATACAAAGAGAGACATAAAAAACTTAAAGTCACACTTCATCTTAAATGCTTGCAGTCTGTCTTTGTCTCTTATTGTTCTTGTCTCACGTGCATAGATATTATATATATATATATATATATATATATATATATATATATATATATATATATATTT